ACCCTTTCACATTGTTAGGTGTATTTTTTTTAATCATTTTGTGATACATGCGTTCCATGTTTTTCTTTATCCATTCAAATTAATATTATTTTCTATGCAATTAATCATCAAATTGATTAATTTAAAAATTGGATGTGATAAATGTTGAAATTCAAGAATTTAAAATCTTATTCTAAAAGGAAATTTTAACAATGAAAATTTAATAATTTAATTTTAAGAAATAATAATAAGTGACAACTAATAGTAAAATAATATGTTGCAATAATAAAAGAGTAAAGTAAAAAATATGTTCACATTCTAGAATAAAATCTTTTACTTCATCTTAAAATACTTGTCATTTTAAAAAAATTATAGTAATTAGTTTTTCAGTGTTATCTCTTCATTTATTAGTATTTCACGTAAATGCTTAAATAGATTTAAAATAATATTTTATTTTTTTAATAAGGATATTTTTGTTATATAATTATTTTGTTATTAATGTATTTATATAATTAATAATTTTCTTAAGAAATGTACATTATCTTGAAAGACATATAATGAGACAGGAAAATATATAACTTATAACATCAAAGGATTAGTTATTATCTATATGTTTGTGCTGTCTTTAATAACACAGATCAGATCTACAAGATTTATTGTCGATGATAACGAGTAAGATCTTATTGTATCATTCTCATGATGTGAGATAAAGAGACAGCAATTAGCCAACATCTGACATCATGGACTGAGCTGCACGTAACAGACCCTTTGATTAAGCTGATATTTCCAAATTACATGTACCATGAAATGTCCAATGTGGCTTAACCCCAAATGTTCCTTCTTTTCCGCATATATCCTAATACTTTCACAATTTCCCACAATAAAAGGTCATGTTTGTATTTAACCACCCTGTTTGGTTGGTATATACTGTTAGCCCCACCTCAAACCTCTCTGTTCCTTGAGCTAAAATAGAATAACTAATTGCACATCCCTGCACATTTAACCAATCACGATCTCGGATGTTCTTTACAAAGGACCTCTTTCAAGAGCAAAAAAAGTTGGGCTCAGGGAACCTATGTTTTCATCAGGGTTCTTTTTGAGTTCCAACCCCTTTACTTTGGAAATATTCATTTTATGAGTTCTACCTGATCAAGTGAAATAAAGGCTCTTCAGGTTTCATCTTTGTTTCTTTCATGTAAGAACTTTACAATAATTTTCATTTGAGTTTAACATGTGCCCGTTATTGGTGCCAATGAGATGTAGTGGTATTCAAATTCAGAAGAATGAAAAATATAAGTTATGCATTCGATATGCAGAAAATGTACAATGTGGTACAATACAATCATATTGGTATCAGAGTTGTCTTGCAGTTTAATTCATAGAATTGGATCTCATTGCAATTTATCTTGCAGATAATTTTTCCAATTTAGAGCAAAGAAAATGAATAGCCTCAGAAAAGTGGGTTCTCCAAGGGGGGGAGAGGTTGGAGAGATTGACACAAGAGCACCATTCCAATCTGTCAAAGCTGCTGTTAGTTTATTTGGAGAAGTAGCCGTCTCTAGGGACAGATTCTCTATCAAGAGAAGATCATCAGAGGTATGCATCAGACATAACATTTCCATTTTTCTCAAAAATAAATATATCCTAGGATCGGGAGAGAGACCCCTGATGATAGGGAATCTGACACACAAACATGGGAAAATAAAGATGTTATTAGTATTGCATAGCACGTGCATTTTTGCATGTTTGACATGAGAAATGATTTTCTTTTCATAATTTGCAGAATGTATTTGAAAAGGAAACACAGCTTATCTTGGCCCAAAAAGAATTAAACAAGATAAAGAAACAGGTGGATAATGCTGAGGCCACCAAAGCCAAAGCACTTTCTGAACTTGAGAGTGCCAAGGAGATCCTTCAGGGTTTGACAACCAAGCTGGCCAACGTGAGACGATGCAAGCAATCTGCAATGGCAGCAGCTGAAATTGTGAGGAATCGGAGCAGGCGATTTGAAAAGACACTATCCCTAAAAGCCGTGGGATATGAAGCTTGGAAACAAGAAATAGATCACGCAAGAAAAGAGTACAACACCACTATAACTGAGCTAGATTCTTCCAAGCAAGAACTCACCAAATTAAGTCAGGATTTTGATGCAGTTTTGGAGGCAAAGCTGGCAGCATTGCAAGCAGCTCGAGAGGCTCAGCATTCAGCAAAATTAAACTCAGAAAGGATCACTGAACTCTCAAATGAAATTGCAACCATGAAAGCCTCAGTTGAACAATTGAAACTCGCCTTTGACCAACCCCAAGAAGAAAGTGAGGCCCAACTTGTTGGTTATTACAAAACTGCCAAGGAAGAAGCACAGAAAAACTTGGAAGCCTTGAAGAAAGAATATGATCCTGAACTAACACAAAGCCTAGACACCAAACTCGCTGAAACAAGTGCAGAGATTGAGGCTCTTCAAGATCAGATTAAGAAACTGCATGCTTCTAAGATGGATGCTGTGAGACTTTTAACTTCAGAGCTTAAAGAAGCCACAAAGACACTTGAGGACATTGCTGAAGAAAAGAACTCCCTTAAAAAACTGGTGTTTTCTCTCAGGACAGATTTGAAGCAAGTGCAGGAGGAGCAAGGTGAAGTGAAGGAGAAGAAACACGCAGTAGAAGCTCTTGCTGCTAACCTCACTGGTGAACGGCAAAAGAAGATAGGAGAGGCTAGGCCTGAGCCATGCACTGTGGAGGACCTAGAAGCTGATATCTTCTATGTGAAGAATGCAAAGATTCGGAAGCTACAATTGGAGACAGAAGGTGCTAGAAGAGAAGCAGAAGAGATGAAGAGAAAAGCTCAAGAGCTGAAGCGAGAAGCTGAAAGAGCCAGGGCTGTGGCTGAAGAAGCAGAGGAAAAACTTGAGCTCGTTCTGGTGGAGGCTAAAGAGGCAAAAGCTGCAGAACTAAGAGCTGTTAAGGAAATGAAAATTTTGTCTGAAGTGGGTAGAGTCCCGAACTCAAAATTCAGTGGCACAATCAAGATTTCAAATGAAGAGTTTGAGGCAATGAGAGTAAAGGCCAAGGAGTGTGAGGATTTGGTTAAAAAGAAAGAGGCAATTGTGATGGCAGAGCTGCAACAAATCTGTGCTAGAAAGAATGAAGTGGACAGAAAGGTGGAAACTAATCTGAAGGCAATTGAGGAAACAAAGGCTGCTATAGAGACAGCTTTGTGGTGTGCAGAGATGGCAGATTCAGCAAAAGTGGCAATTGAAAATGAACTAAGGAGGTGTCGTCAACAACAACAAAAGGTGGTACCCGATGCTGCTTCCCAGAAAGTGGAGCATTCTGCAACACCAATCCCGTTGACCATCTAGAATAGAAGTCAAATCTTGGATATGTAGATGGCAGAGGAAGTGACTTGGTTCTTGTGTTGCCTTTCTGCCTTTATCTTGGAAGATTGACTATCACTTTTGTTGATGTTTCCATCTTTCAAAAACAAATCAAATGTGCAAATAAAATTCTCACTGTCAACAACCTGCTTTTTCCCTTGTTCCTAGAGCCCTTAATAAACAAGTTTCTAGCTCTTGTATATTTCCAAGGAAAAACCAAGAAGTAGCCGCTCTTTACTCACGATCACGCAGTGCTAAACAGGAATGAAGTAATAAAGCATTACAAATAGGAAATCAGCACTCGAAATTAAGCGAGTTGGATTGACTGTCATTAATATTAATATTAAAATAGTACAGTATCAAGTAAATAACACACTAACAATTTTTAGTTTAGGCTACACTAAACAAATCCATATACAAACAATAATATTATATTCTTAGAATAATGTTACACATACAATAAAAATTGTGAATTACTTTTGTGTTTATCTTTCTCTATCACTTCATTTATTATAGAAAAATATATTATAAATGATGGTGAGAGATACACACAAGTAATGTTGTATAATTTTTATTGTACGTGTATCATTACTCATATTTCCAAGTACAATGTTTTTTTACATAAATTAATATCTTATATTTGAGCTGAGAAAGAAAATTAAGAAAAATGATGACCAAAAAATCAAGAAACACGGGGATAAAATATTATACTATTTGATTTGACATTGATCTCTTGCATGGTGACCCGATGTAAAGCTGGCCTTTGCATTAAGTTGACTAGCCCTTAATTTCTTAGTAACATACATAAACAATGCTAACTAATTCTGTCGAATCCTGATAGAAGTAATTCTGATGTGGAGTCGTTCTACATTGGTTATACAGGTAAAGATCTCTGATTTTGAGGTCTCAACGGTAGATCTTAAAGGACAGTGTTAGACACCATTGCCATTCTTAAATTCGCGTAACTCTGGTAGTGACTCTTTAGTCTTGGCAATCTCATCTGGAGGTTCTGGAGAATCTACATGTAACTCTGACAGGGACTCTATAGTCTTGGCAATCTCATCTTCCTCATCTGGAGGTTCTAGAAAATCTACATGAAACGATCCCTGCTTGATGGGTTCAACAGGTTCACGGAGTCTGGCTTGCTGCTTGATGTAGTTGTAGAGCTTTTGATGGAAGGGATGATCCAAGGAATAGCAATTTTCACTTCCACTCTCTGAATGTCTGGATGATCCAGAGCCTTCTCTTTTACAGAAATGTGGCAAAGATGAGTAATCCATGATCTGCACACCAAATTTAGTTTGTTAAATACATTCAGAATTTCAGACGAAGTAAAAATAGGTAGTAGGTACCATAGAATATGCCTTCAATTTCTCAAAAGAACTATCACGTGCATACTAAAAGGAATAAAAATAAAAGGTGAAGTAGTTTCCAGAATAAATACATGCACTTCCAGGAATGACTTTTACTGCTTTATATTGACTAACTATACGGACCAGTATACCAAAGAAGGTGTTTCTCTTTATACACGTGATGAGGTGACACAACTTCACCGTCGTTACTCATAAAGGAAAATGATTTTGACTAAATCCATCAGTTGAAGTGTAACTAATATTATGCAAGTGTTCCGTGTAAAATTTTATAAAATTTAATAAAGAATAAGTTTATTGTGAAGTGGCATATATTTTCTTTTAAAAACATCATCTACATAAAATATTTTGATAGGTACAACAACTTTAATTTAATGCATACATAAGATGCAAATAATACAAACTTTAAAACTAAGCGTAGATTTTGTAAAAAAATCATCCTATACAAAATTATTTATTAGAGAGATTGATTTATATACAGAAAACTTGCATTACAGATCCACAGACTAATATAGCACTCTCCCTTAATTTTCTGCTCTGTACTCCAATTCTGTAATATGCAATAATTCTATTTCTACATGTTTTAACTGTTGGTGATTCCAGTTATTGATAGACATGTCTAAGAAATTTGAAACATTTTCCAACTAGTTTGAAAGACACTGTGAAGTGTAACTGTGTCAAGAGGGTAATTGCAATGTTTGGCGCCACTGTCTCTTATCTAAGGCAAAAATTTCCCACATGGCATCTTTGTGCTCTTTAGGGGTATTCATGGATCAGATTTATTAAAATGGACAAAATTTGAATATAGTTCCTTAAATGCAGTTGATGATGTTCTTTAATCAAAATTAAAATTTACCTTAATATGCATTTGCATTTAATACATATTTCATTGATATACACTTACACACCTAACCAAAGTAAATCTCCAATTTTGATTAGAGAACACCAAATGCACCTAAATAATTATACTTAAACTTTGTCCTTTTGAAAAACTAAAACTAAACCGAATTGATCTATTTTAAAAAAGTGGATTGGTTTAGTTTTTTTAAGAAATGAATCACATTTTTTTTTTAAATTGGATCAATTTAATGCAATGCACTTTACACTCATATGGATCGAGCTTTTCAAAAAATTGATCTGAATCGAACCAATTCACTCTGTATAAATGAATCAGTAAACTAAACTGATTTTGCAAAGTGGAGCAGTTACTTTTTTTCTCAAAATGGATTGGTGATTTTTTGCACACCCCTGATCGCATGTACTCCTTTTTTTGGTTTGATAAGTACCTTCAGTCATGACTCTATGCCCAGGGATTAAACCTTGGTCCTTGGTTAAAGAGTACAAATGCTGAATCACTGAAGCTAACGACTTTTGGTATTAGTATGTACTAGTAGTATATATGTCACCTACTGATCATGATAATTAGCAATTTTTTTCTTCATCGTGGCACAATTTCAATTGTTGGGGATATGCACTCCAGTAGTCTTGTTCAAAGAAATGAAGACAAAACAAAAAACTTACTTTCAACAACTCATCTCGTCCACAACCTGGTAACACCTGCACTTTTCTTCTTGTCCTCTCCTGTAGAAGTGGCTTCACAACCTGCTAATGCTGAGTGTTTAAACATCATGCTGAGGTCTTAATAGGAACTAAACTGAAACGGCTATATCAAATAAAATTTTCATACATCCAAATCATTAGGAATAATGTGTGTGTATATATATATTATGGTAGAAGTAATTTCTCACCTTCCAACAAGCTGAAAATATGTATGGAGCATTTACAATGTAATAAGTATTTGTCTTCTCAGGGTAGTTCAGATCATCAATGGATGATATAATAGTTAAAAGCTGCATCAGCACAAGCAAGTTAATGATATAGATTATAAAAAATATTATCTCCAGTCCTGATTATAAGCAACATATAACAAATCATCAAGATTAAGAAAAGTAATTAATATAGTTACTTTTAATTAATTCTACAATTAATTCAAGTTTTATTCCAAATATACTATTTACTTAGGAAATAGAGTTAACAATAAATGAAGAATATATAAAAAATTTCATCCTAAGTATCTTTAAAAACTAACAATTGTTGCTTGCAATTAAGACGAAAGAAAAATCTAATTTGTTGCTTATAATTAGGACCTAAGTAGCATATATAAAACAGATGGGAAAGAATTGAACACTTTCCGCTTTCAGTTCGGTTTTATGAAGCAATAGCATTAAATGTTTGACCTAAACGACAATTTAGAGAGCAATTTTCAATTTTATGTATGTCTTACATTTAATTCACAATTAATCATGGGTATGCCAATGCTGCTGGATCGAATCACAGTATGAACTAAAAAGTACCTTAACATGATTCAGGGATGATAACTTCAGACCAGTCATGTCTAAAACCTTTATACAAGTGGTAACAGGTGGCTTACGCTTCTTTGATGCAGAAGGCTACAGCCAAACCATAAATGGGTCAAAACAAAAGGACAAAAAAACTCAACTGGTTAATGAAGAAGACTGTAAAGACTAATACTCACCAAGATTACGCGGTCACGATATTCATTAATTTGAATGTGTGACTGCACATAATAATGGACCTGCAATCATAAAAACACCAAAAAAAGCCAGAAGGATATCAGGACAAATGGCTTTAATAAAAAGAAATAGATAGTGCTCCAAAGTGGCAACATCCCTTTTCCTTTTTTACAATAATTAAACTTACAGATGCTCTGTCAAATGTACTAAGCCCAACACCAATTGCAAAGACAGGCAGACCCTGGAAGGAAGGCAGAACATGAACAATAAAATTAAAATAAAAAATGAAAAATCAACTAAGTCCTATCGTTTTAATCAATATCAATAAAAATGTACATTGTCATAAAGCCTAAGTTGCATGTTTTGACAAATGAACGCTCACTTAAAGCACAGCTAAAATGAAATGGAATGAGGAAAATATTATGTTTGAGAATGAGCACCTCTCTTGAGTAACCTGACAATCCTATGAGTTGTGAATCACGCACCGCTCTGTATAAATCAGCAGAAAAAATGGGTTTTT